ATTCATTGATTTGGTTCTGCCATCATTAACATTAATAATCCGTTGATTACTTTTGGTAAAAGACAGCCAATATAGGTTAAAGGAGACCTAATTTTCTGGACTGGGGGCTCATCCCATCAATAAACAAATTACACTAACTCATGATGATAAATTTTAAACTTAGGCAACAAGGAAATATTTTATTTTCCAATTCTTCCTTGGGCTTCTGGGTTATTCTGGACATATAACATACATTTCCCAATCTATATTATTAATATCTTATTTTCTCACTTTAAAATTGTAACATTACTTTTTTTTTAGTTTATTTATTGTTTTGGAATATTTCTCAAAATTAAACCACAACATTGTCATCAAAATAAAGACTTGTTGATGATTATTACTTTATCTCAAATTTCTTCTTAATGTGTTACGAGGAAACACAACCAGGATGGGCAGTGCATGAGTCCAGCACATCAATTAATTTCCATGTGTCAATTTCCTTATCTGAAAAATGAAAACCTCGCCATCAACACAGTCCTGAGTCTATTGTGAGGAAAGAATTTTAACACATTTGTGTAAATCTCTAGCATCATAAAATGATAAACAACAAATCTCATTCATCATGCAGCTATATCCAGCATATGACACCAAAAAGAAAAAGAAGCAGATGTGTCTGAGACAGGTTTTTATTCCCCACAAAGGAATTAGATATTTACACCTTGTACAAGAGGTGAAATTGCTGTTCTCTTTCTTCCAACTAAAAAACAAAAAGAGCAGTGCTGAGTACTTAACTAAGATGGGAATTATGTTTAAGACAGAAAATATGTAATAGCTAACACTTGTACGGTACTTTAAAGTCACACATTATAAATTGTGATCTTCACAATAAACTTAAGTAGAAGTCATTTATTTTTATTTTACATCTGAGGGTACGGAAGCTCATAAAAGTGACTGTAACAGGATTGCTCAGCAAGTCTGCAGAGGAGCTAGTATTTGGACCAGGAATTCCATCTCTGAAGTCTTCCCCTTTCCACCAAACCAACTAGATTGCCATATTCTTGGATAACAATATACACCTTGGAAGTCAGATGGTCTGAGTAATATTCTAGGTTGGACTAAACCCAGGAGTGTTTGGCTAAAGCTCTGAACTTTCGTTGTCCACTGGTCTTCCATTCTCATCTTCATCTTCCAACCCAGTCTCAACTTGTCTTCTAGATTTTTATTTGCCACTTCATAGGCAAATATCCTCTTTGTACTATAAGGACGTTGATGGAAGATTCTAGGGTCTTATTCACATTTGCATTCTCCATAATAGCTCACATGTAAGAAGCCCTAAACAAGTAACTATTTCAATGAATTGAGTTAATTCATTATTCATGGAAAAAAATTTCTTGAACACTTGTTTTGTAACTTGCTTAGTGCTAGATCAGCCAAGAGGACAGAGAGAGTTCCTGCCATCATGGAGTTTATGGACAAATGTTGAATAACTAACAATAACAGTAACAAGAGCTCAGAGAAGAGTTGTTTGCTACGACCGGTAGATAACACAGGGAACTAACCTAGTGTGAGGCAACAGGAAGGCCTCCCTGAAGAAGGGACATTTAATCTGCCATCTAAGGTTGAAGGGGAGGGAGACAGATGAGGAAGAAAATGCAACCTAGGCAGAGAGACCAGCATACACACAAAGATGGGAAAATGCCTCCCCTCACGCACATCTTAAATCCTGCATCTCACTGAATTACCTTGGCTCAGAACCGACTCTCATAATGATGTTGGGATTTTCAGAATATAGTAGGCATCACAATAGATTAAAATAATTTCTTCCTGTAGATAAACCATGCACTCTTTTGAATCTTTAGAACACTTCAATAAATTTATTCAGCCTTGCTATAAAAGTAGGGGGTAAGTGTGTGGTTCTCTCTCTCTCTCTCTTTTATCTGAAACTAAACATTGTATTTCATATGTGGAGATTCAATATTCTAATTGCTGTCTAGCCTGGGTAAGAAACTGAATTCTTGTGAAACCAGGAGGAAAATGTTGTAAAGATTTGTTCAGTCACAGTCATTCTTTACAAGTAATTTCAAATTTTATAGTTAGTGATAATTGTACCTCCAGTTGTAAATTAAGTCTTTATTCTGTGGGATTTGGGGAGTTGTTAGACAAGGTGTCATGAGGTTACGTGCGGTATCCCACGTTGAGGAAAATACAATAAATTATATCGCTTTATAGCAAACACTTTATACATATAATTAAAATAAGATGTTCTCACTGACTATAGTTTTACAACTTTAAAGCTTGGCGTAAAATTTATACACATATATAGACTGCCATAAAGACACATGTTTTCATTATATGTAGACAGACACTGAACAACCACTGAGGAAGCTCTACGAGGTATTGTTAGTTACTGAATTGTGTCCCTCACAAAATTCATGTTGAAGTCCCAAGCCTTAGAATGTGACTATATTTGGACATAGGGTCTTTAAAGAGGTAATAAAGCTTCAACGAGGTCATAAAAGTGGGGGCCTAATTCAACATGACTGGTGTTCTTAGAAGAAGAGGAATCAACACCAAGAATGCACATGCACAGAGACAAGACCATATGAGGACCCAGCGAGAAGGTGGCCATCTGTAAGCCAGGGAGATAGGCTTCAGATGAGACCAAACCTGCTGACACCTTGATCTCAGACTTCCAGCCTCCGGGACTGTGAGAAAATGAATTTCTGTTTTTTAAGTCCCCCAGTCTATGGTATTTTGTTACGACAGCTGTTATAGTCTGAACTATGTCCCACCAAAATGCATATGTTGAAGCCCTAACCTGTAATGTGACTGTATTTGGAGACGGGGCTTTATGGACAGAATTAAGGTTAAATGAGGTCATAAGGGTGGGGATCTAACCCGATAGCACCTGTGTCCTTATAAGAAGAGAGACACACACCAGAGAAAGCTCCCTCTCTGTCCTCGCCAACAGACAAAACGTCACGTGAGGACACAGCAAGAAGGAAGCCTGCAAGAGAGGTCTCACCAGAAACCGAATTTTCCAGCACCTTGCTCTTGGACTTTTAGCTTCCAGAACCGTGAGAAAATTAATTTCTGTTGTTTAAGCCACCCAGTCTGTAGAGTTTGTTATGGCAGAATAATGCAGCAGCAAATTAATACAGATATATATATTTACAGTCACAAATATACATGTACAAGTATACACATGCACACACAGACCGGCTCTGTGCAGTCAAATTATCTACAGTCCTATTTGAAAACAGTGGGAAGGCTTTTGTTATGTCTTTGCATAGTAAAATTTATGTTAGATTAAAAACAAGTATGCATAATTTATATTCATGCAACCAGACTGTGTCTGGATATTAATTAGAAAAAACAGAATTGTTTTTATGAAGTGGGGTCAGTATACGGGTACCCTCAAAAAAATCCTTTGGACATATTTACATGTTGATTATTTCAGCTTTCAGAGAAAATGCAAGAGGCTGGCTTAATCTACCTACAATCACCAAAGAAGAATATTAAACTTGGACTTCACTGTTTCAAATTAAACTTTTTACATGCAGTTGTTATATTCCTGTCACTTATCAAGTTACCTTAAGAAGCTTTTTGTGAATTTAATTAAGCCTGACTAATTCTCCAAGAGTACAAGGAAAGATGAATTCCTTAAATATTTAATCCATTTATGATTCAAAGTGTCATTTTCTGAACATGGCTGCTAAATTCTTGGAATTAATTATCCTTTGAATTAGAGCTGCTTTTTCAGACATTCAAGACATATAGTCACAGCTCACACAATGCGTAAATTCAACATTTCATCTTTTCATCAAGGGAATTTATTCCAAATGCTGTATTCAAAAATCTCAACCTGGCAGGCTTGTTTATGACCATGGAACTAAGGAATCTTTGACTGTAAGCTTCATAACAATCAGGCACGTCTTCATCGTGATCTCCATTCTTGGTGTTTCCTCTGCTTCTCCTATGTCCAAGTATTAACGAGTTAAAGGTTAGCTGCCCTCTAGCTGCACATTCACTATTCTTTTTCATTGCAACTTTGTTCTCTTTAACTCATCCCAAGCCTTGCCTCCTTCAGAAAGCTTTTTCCCATTACGATCAGCAGGCAGCACCATCATAGAGCCATCCCTCCCCTTTGTATCACCCAAAATGCTGAGTGCACCTGTGACTTCATTTTAATTACACATTTCCTATTTGTTCTCTTCCAGAATTTTGAAGGCTATGCAAGACTAGAAGCAGTGTTCCTCAAGACTACATTCGCAGAATACAAGGAGATCAACGAGGCAACAACATTTATGGAGCACCCAATATCCCCAGAACCAGACACCAGATTCCTGTATAAGAAAACTGGAAGACCAGATACATGAGGGGACAGAAAACCACACATACACACACCCACAGTCACAAAGACACAAGCACCAGAGGCACAAATCCTGAGTGCCTTGTGATTCATTAGTGCTCAGTCCTCATTTCAATGTTCCCAGCATCTTTCTAGACACTGAGGTTATGGGAGTTTCTGGTTAACTCAACCTCCAAAGGAGAAAGCTGCCTTTTGATTGCAATTCAGATTCCCTCGGGGATGTTAAGAGATTGAAAGATTATAAATTAGCTATTTGGCTTTCACGTTTCCAAGTCTCAATTTAGGGACAGTTGATTCTCAGATACCATTGCCTTAGCAATATAAACAGTGACTGAAAAACATTTCTAGAACAATTCACTGCGCAGTCTTCCTTTCCTTCCATCACCACCACCTCCCACACACCTTTGACTTAAAATATAATTATTTACATGTAAAATATAAACCACAAAATGGCATGTTAGAATTTCCTTTTTTTTTTAAATAAAATGTATTCTAAAAATACTTTGGTTGCAAAGAAACATAAGAATAGGAAAAATTAATTAGAAGAGAAAACACTGAAGTCCCGTGGTTGTTGGAATAGAAACAGCCAGCACTGGGTGGTAGATACGGATATCCACTGCAGGGGGCGCCCTGTGTCGAAGGTACCTACCCCCTTTCATCATTCCTACTTCGTAGCACTTGCGTAGCCGGCAGGCCTGACAGCTTTTCCTCCTGTTTTTATCAATCGTGCACTGGTTGGTAGCCGGACACATGTAGTCATTATGTCCTGTTAAAAGGAAGAGGACATAATTAATATCATTTCAGGAAACGTAGCCAGTCAGAATCTACAGGGAGACTGGAGGATGTGTTCCTATCACATACTTGGCCTTACTATGTTGCTACCTCAACTCACAAATCCTTTTTCTGTCCTTCTCGATGTATAAAAAAAACTCTCCTGGACTTAATCTCTGCCTCAGCCAATTGCTTTGGGAGTTCTTAGGGCAAATCACCTTCAGTTCATACCGCATATATTTTGGGGCACGATGTTTTATATACACTCACAAGGTTAAGTTTTCTCTGCAGATAAGACTTTTTTCTTTTTTTTTGACTCAGGCCACTAGCTAAAATGGTTGTCAGAATAAAACTGCTGGAACTTTCAGAGAGTTTTGAAGTGGGCTTTCTTAAAATATAATTTAAAGAATCTTTAAATAGGTATTCAAATGCAGCCCGGAACACTTAATTTCAAGTCAGGGGTGGTGGGCTGGGGCAAGGTGAAGTTCAGTCCTTAAGTTAGTAAGTTAGTCCATCACTTACTAGCTAGAGGACACTGAGGAAGTAAGTTAACATCTCTAACTTTTTCCCTCTCTAACCTAGAGAAAATAATGGCATCCACTACAGCACATTACTAAGAATTAAATGTAAGAATACATGTCAAGGGACTTAACACAGTGCCCTGGAGGTGGTGAGCACTCAATAAATATTAGTTGTTGTTGTTATTTTATTATTAATCCTTTTTCTTTTCCCTCTTGTTGATTGAATCCCTCTCACTCAAATATTTCTTTCTCATCCATCTTTATCATATGCAACTCTGTGTCACAAAAAGGTCTCCTTTGACCTCACATCATTCTTGAACTCCATCTTCTATCCTGCCCCACCTTCTCAGCTCCATTCCTCAGAGATGTCTACACTTGAGGTCTCCTCACCTCTTCTGCATGTCTCAACCTACACCACCTTAGCTGCCCCACAAAAGCGCTTTCTTGATGTCATCAATGACTCTTTTTGCTGAAATCAACAGAGATTTTCAGTCCACATCATGCTTGACCTAACAGAAGCATCCGACAATTTCTCCCTTCCTCTTGAAACCATGCTTTTCCCTTGGCTTCCATAAACAAAACTCTCCCAGTGCTCCCCCTATCTCTCAGGCTGTGGCTTCCCAGTGTTGTTTGAACGTTCACTCCATCCCACATGAAACCAGAGCCGCAGAGGCTCAATGTCAGGCCCTCTTCTCTTCTTATGACTCCAAATTCTCCCACAAGAAAATCTATTTCATGCCTATGGTTTCTATTGCTACTAAATGCAGATAGCTTATAAATTTATACTTCCAGCCCAACCCTCTTCTCTGAGCTCTTGGTACATATGTCTAATTGCCTACATGAAGTTTCTGCTTTAATATTTAGAAGTCACCTCCATTTCTTTATCCACCAAAAGAAGTCTGGTTTACAGTGTGCAGAATATTAAACTTCACAAATTAATAAGTATTGGCATGTTTTTATAAACAAGTCCATTTATATAGTCTAAATTCTTACACCTCTTGAGAAAATGACCTAAATTTAGCCTAAACCGATGTACTATTTTAAACTTTTTTTTTTTCAGGGAAAGATTTACCCCGAGCTAACATCTGTTGCCAATCTTCCTCTCTCTCTCTCTTTTTTTTCCTACTCCCCAAAGCCCCAGTACATAATTGCATATTCTAGTTATAAGTCCTTCTAGTTCTTCTATGTGAGCTGCCTCCCCAGCATGGCTACTGACAGATGAGTGGTATGGTTCCACGACCAGGAACCAAACATGGGCCGCCGAAGCAGAGCATGCCGAACTTTAACCATTAGGCCATCAGGGCTGGCTCGATATGTACTATTTTAAAACATGTTTCCTATTCTCAAAAAAAAAGTATATATATTTAAGTACATATTCCACCCTCTAATTCAGATTCTCTGCTTAAGTTTCCATTTTCTCATTTACTAAGGGCAAGATGCAACATGTAGTGAAATGTTTGAATTACAGAACTCTTTAGTCTTTATTCAACTTAAGGGTCAGTTCCAATTAGAATAGGGTGGAGTGAGGACTTGATCAGAAATGTTGGTCTCATAAAACTTGGTTCTCCATCTTTAAATTTACATTATAAAAGTCACTGTATCAACAGGCTTCAGATGAAATTAACATCTGCATTCCTCTATTGCATAATAGGAACCAGCAAACTAGTCAGCAGAAGTATAAACTCGTAACTTGAGTAAGAGACCACACACTCTGCCTCAAACATCCAGGCATAGTTATTGTTTTTAGAATTGTCTTTATTGATAAGGACAAATTGAGGAAATAATGGAACCAGAAACAAAATTTACCTGGGCAGATGTTAATTCTAAGCAAAACGTATATTCTTCTGACATCTCAAAGAAATTTTAGTGTTTGGTCTCCTATAATGTTTATGCCGTAAATATGATTTATTTTAACTCTAAAAGAATGAGTTTATATCAAGTCTCAGAAGAAAACTGTCAATAATTATTCAAACCAAAAATTACTTTGATCCACTTTTGCCCCCCCAAAGCCAGTTGTTTTGCAAGCCAGAAGATGGGAGAACTGAATTGGATCAAAGGTCAATTGGCTAAATATTATGTTTGGCTTGGTTATCTAGTATAGATGTGTATCTTTATAGAACCAAGTGAACTTCCTGAACTAACATGTTTAACACATAAAATACGCTGGATTTGTGCAATTGAATTCATCCCTTAACGAGAATGAAAATAGATGCCCAGTGGAATCACGTTCATAATGGAAACCTTTTGTGACAAAGCGGGTTTTCTCCTGCCCGAACTACATTAAAATTCAGAATTGATAAATTGGCAACAGGAAAAAATCAATCGGTACATATTTTGATATATACAATTAAAACCAATATTTCTTAACCAAACACCATTAACAACTATTTGTAAGTCTTCAACTTGTTTCAGAAGGAAAAAACAAAGTAGTTTTCTGTTCCCTAATGAGTATCACTTAGCAAAGCTGAGTTACTAAAGCAACTGATTTAAGTTTCTTTAAGAAGAAACTTCTTTTTAAATTTTATTATTTGGTCTTGTGAAAACAATGCATGAGAATATCCTATTGAAGCAGAGTTAATTTTTAAAAAAACAACTCACGCCAATTATATTAATGAAAGGTACAGTCTTTTTACTGAAGAGACTAATGACCTCTGTATACCTGTGACCAGGTCAACCCAAAAGTTCCTTTTGCACAGGCTTGGATGGAGGGCAGAAGGCCCACACCGAGATGTGAGGTTCAGGTGAAGGTCTGGAGAAATAATCACCATTTTCTTGCCCACCAAAAAATAAAAATAAAGGCTTTGGGAGAATGCAGGGTTTCAGTAATAGGAAGTGGAGAGGAGAGGAGGTGAGTGAAACAGAAGCTAGAAACAGGAAGAGTGGGGAGAGGAGGCATCTGTGAGCAGGAATTAGCAGGCTCCACCCTCGGCTCCTGAAGCAACAGAAAGGCTCACGCAGAGCTTTTCTCCGTGTTTCACTGGGATTCTTCCTCTTGACTTTTTGTTTTACCTTTGCGTCTTATTTTAGAATCTTTCTTCTTGTCATATTTTTCCCTCAGTACATTCTGGCAGTCACCGCAGACGAAATCTCTTTATTGGGCTTCACATCCATATGCCCACCTGCCCACAGTCCATTTAGACTTGGCTATCTCACAGACTCTTGAAGATGGATGTGTCCCAAATATAAGTGACCATCTTCTTTCCTCTCCGATCTGTTCCTCTTCACTACCACACCATGAAGCCTGAGACATGGGTGTTATTCTAGACTCCACCCTCTTCCTCACTCAAATCCCCAAAAAAACATGCACACGCAGATCAAATCAATTATTTTAAAATTCTTTTTCAAAGCAAAATCAATTCCCCCTGGGCTCACCGTCACTACCATAACCCACACCATCTCCACCCGGATTAATGCATTGGCCCACTAAGCCACCTCTGCCGCCAGTCTTCCCCTGCCAATCATTCTCCGCCAGGTTGCCAGAGGGATTTTTCTAAAATCAAATGCCACCTTGCTGCTATCCTGCTTTAACATTCTGATGCTCCTCAAAGCACTAAGGATAAAATCTAAATGCCTTAAGACAGCTTAACAAGAGGTTCTTGATCAGCCCTTACCTCCTTTCATAGTCTCATCTCGCACCGCTCTCTAAGTCACATCCAAGTTCTAGCCAGTCTTTCTGTTCAAATACTCCATGCTTCTTACACATCGAGAAGTTTGCACATGCCCTTCCTTCTTGAAGGAACACACTTTCCCTACACTCGGCCCAACTGACTCCTACTCATCTTTCAGATGTGTCAGTCAAGGTATCAGTTCCTCTGGGAACTCCTTTCTGCCCCTCCAACGATGCCTAGCTTTTGTCCTGTCTTAGCACTTACTATGTTGGACTTTAACTGCTTGTCTCAATCCCCAGGTCACTTTAGGCTTGACAAGGGATAGACTATATCTGTCTCATTTACCACCATTTATCCTGTGCCCAGCACATTCTCAAGCACACAGTGGAGCTCAACAAGTATTTGTTATCTCAACAAAATGGAGGTGCTGGAGACCTATGTTGCCCTCCGCCCCCAATCTTATCTGCGGAGCACAAGCTTCCTGAGAGGGCAGACTGGAGTTCTATAAAGGAAGTAATAACTGAGAAGATGATGATCCTGAGCAAAGCAATGGCAGCTATACCTCAAGACCCCAAAACTCAGGTCCACAAGAGCAAGACTTGGTCCTCAGGGTGTCTCAAAGAGCATGAAACCAGCAGAGAGAGACGAGTCTGCTCTTCAACACTGGGTGGGGCCATACATTAGCATAAAGGAGCAGCTCTTCACAGATACAACGGGCCAAGAAGTGAGAAATAAGACCTTGTATTACCCATGAATTATCTCCACTACTGTTTCCATTCTGATGCCTTGCTGGTTTTCTAATATCAGTGGATTTTATGATTACCCCCAAATAAAAATCAACATATTCTAATTATTTCAAGGCTCAT